GGCTGGCAGCAGTGCGACTGTGCCATCAACACCCGTGCTGTTCCCCTACTGCCCTCGCAGATTCCAGGCTGTAGGCTAAGGCATGTGGAGATTTGGTCGGCAGCCAAAATAAACCAACGGAGGGAGTTGAATAAAGAGTGGGTGTTGGCACATGCACAGACGTACTGGTGGGGAGCTGTTGCTGGAACCGGATTTCCACGGGCAGCCAGCTCATGGGTGTTTGCCACCAGCTGAGCCCCGGCATAGTAGGCATTTCACGTGCCTATGTGAGTTACCTTCCACATCCAAACGTCCTTGATCCACTCAGCTTAGCGGCAGCTTTTCCAGCATGTCCCAGAGGCCTCTGGATTTGATATCCAACACCATGGGACTGCTAGTTGAGGGGGAAGTGCGGCAGCTTAGGTGCTTGCAGGAGCCTGCATGACTGAGACAATGTGCTGCATGAGTTGGGGCTTACCAGGGCCTGAAAGCTTCATGACCAGTAGATGAACTGCCCTTATCCTGCTTACAGGTGATGAAAATGTGTTTGTTTCCACCTAGTCTAGTTTCATCTCTAGTAATGTATTTCTTGTCTTTGGACAAGGCATTGTCTTAGTTGTTGTCCTGCCCGTTGTCTTCTTTGTATGGAAACTTGCATGTTCTAGCTGCCCCCAAGATGTATAATCTTTCTCTGCATTAGTGTTACATATTTTGAATGTCTCTCCTTGCTTGGCTTCAGAGTCATTTCTCGATCAGTCTGGTTTTGAAGAACCTAAATTAAGGTTTGCTGTATAGTTAAAATTAAGTGCAAACTGGTGTTTGCTTCATCAGAGCTATCCTTATACGCTGCTGCGATGCACACAAGTCAGTTACTATTAACTTGTAAAAAGTAAGAGGATGGTAGGTCACGTGAACGTTATTGCACACTCAGCTGTCAGTTCATTCCCCAAAAGCATGCAGAGTGGCTTAGTGTGAGGGTTATTTTCCATCATTTACATTTTTATTGTTTTCCTTCTCTCTAGCTGCTTGCGTTAATCTTGTATGTCCTATCGATAAACCACAGTTCACAAGCTCCTTATCTCTCTTGTCTACATCAGACTGGTCTGTGCTGACTCTTGAGTTATGTGCCGAAGGACGTTTTAATCATACTTCCACTTGTACATGAAAGCCATTGCTTCATCCTGCATATTTCCCATGATTCTGAAGTCATCCCCAAAATATCTTACTGTTTTTCTCCTTAGAGTTGCAAGCACTGTCTCTAGCAGTCATATTTTTCTTTGCCCCCTCACCATGATGTGCAGACCCCAGAATGTATTTTTTGCTGTATGAGCAATTCAGATTGAATTTTTCAAAAGTATGTGAAGATCCAAGCTGTGGATGCTGAGGAACCAGTTCAGGGCAGCCTGTGTCTGCCTCTGCATCTTGTTTCCTTATCTCAGAGTGTGCTGGGGAAAGCCATGCTGCTGGGCTTCTCTTTCTGAATCAGATCCCTTCTGAAACATTTATTTGCTTAAAAACTCCAGTGGGTGGACTTTGCAAGTGGCAGCCTTGTGATCAGTCCATAACCAAACCTGAAGGACAGTTTGCAGTTCCTCTTTCCAGCTCTATCTGAAGAAGAAAACCTTGTCTTAAAATTTCCAGTTGTCCCCTTCATGATCAGGGCAAAATCAAGGTTACTTGGAGATCCTTAAATGTGAACTGGTAGAATTTTTAATCTTTATGAGGTTGAACATAGGGTAAAACCTGAATTCCCAATGTTTTGGGAATTGGTCTCAAAGGCTTTCAGGTTGTCACATTGTCATTGCTTTTGCCATGATTGTTATACTGTCCTTTTAAATCATGTGAGTTGGAGGCTTTTTTGGGGGGGAGTCAGTTAACTAGTACTAAATCGGTACCAGTGACGTGTACATGCACAATTGATTTCAGAAACTAAATAAAAACGTGTCAAATTCCCTAGCTATGTTTAGTGGACAAAGGATACCACCTGAGTGCTGAACAAAGATGAGACTGTCTGAGGAAGGAACTTTACAGATATATTAAATGAAAAAGTTTCAGTGCTTTGCTGTGCTCTGGAAATACCAAGAATAACAATTTCTACATTCAAAAAACCAAGAAGCTCATCTCTTCTTTAAATGTAGTCTTTCAGTTCTCATACTGAAGGCTTTGCCCACTTCAGCTGTGTTCATGGTGACCTGCATATTTAGGAATATTGCTGTTACTGTACCATACTATTACACTGCAGGAGGTGGGGAGAAGGGAGCTTGCTTCCACCTCTGCCAGGGTGAGAAGCAACTTTCTTACTCAACAAACCATTTTGAGCATCCACTAAATCCATTGTTAGTCACCTAGAGACATGATTAACATGAGGAATTTGGACTAGAAGAACTGTCTGTATTCATTACGCAAGCCTCGTGTCAGAAAAGATGACCCACATGCAACGTGTCTTTCAAGTGTTGGGTCTGTGTAACAGATACGTATATATATAACGGTGCAAGAGAAAATTACATCATTTCCCATTTAAATGAACAGTTTAGCTCTGCCTATTTATAGTCTGTAGTTAGACAGTATATGAGTGCACTAAAACTTAGTTTAGAAGACCACAGCAATGAGAGAAATTGCATCAATTTACTTAATACGGTATTTTCTTGATGATGGGTTGGTGCTCTGTGCAATACATTCTGGAGCTGTCAGATGCCCATATGGCAGCATCCTCAGCACGGTGCTGTGGCTTAGCCCCCGCACAAAAGCAAGTGCTTTTAGGAGAAGAGTCCCATTGTATTACCTGTTAACTCTTGAGATTAAATGAATGCATAGATAAACAGGGGACAGGCATCGTAACGCCTTTTTTGCTTGCTGTCTGTTGGCTCCACCAAGCATCCACCAAGAGGGGTATATGTGGAGGTGGCCCTGCAGGCGTCTCTCTGCACAACCAAGTCCGACACATTTTCAGACTCTTAGCGGCAAGTGAAGAATTACTTTCTTGACTACATATGTCTGGGCAAACGAGCTCAAAGTGACAGTTCTCCAGCAGAGGGTACTCTCTGGGAAGTGTGGTGCATGCAAATGCCTGCTTTTAATTTCACACTCTGGGTGTGTGTTTATACATATATATATATATATATGACCTCTATTTAAATTTCTTAATGAAGCTCATTGATCACTCTTGGCCTGCTGTAGCAGTCCCTGTGGCCATACATACAGGTGGCTGTTCAGGGACTGTACCTGAGTGATGGAAATGGAGTTTATTTGACTGTTGGGAAAATGGAGTATGATGAAGAGTTTACTTTGTATTGGTTTATTATTTGAGGGTTCTTTTCCATCCGGAATTTTGACTTTAATCAGTTTCCAAGATTTATATTTGATTTCTATATCCTTCATACCGTGTATTGCTCCTTAGTCAGCTTATCAGTTATGTAATGCTGACCCACTGATGCCATATCTGGAAGTTTCCAAATGCCATTTGGTTTCTTTCAGTCTGCTCAAAAGAGAAAAGGCTAAATAAAATCAGCAGATGAGATGTAGCTGGCAAGGCAGTTAGCATGGTCTACTGTTACAGCTACCTGGTGATGATCATTATATGTCCCTGATTTCAGTTGCTTCTGATATGTTCCAACAGCATTTAACTTTTTCTAGGGCAGTCACTTTTTTTTTTTTTTGAAACATTTCAGCCGAGTTGGCTCACCCATTTCCAAGACCAAGGCTGTGGGGAAAAAAAACTGCTCTGTGATTTGTCCCTACCCTAGTTTTGGTGCTTGAGTATTGAGGAAGGGCTGGTGAAGCTGTGCTCGGAGGTGAAACAGCTCCATGGGGCGGCCGGGGCACCACTGGGGATGCGTCTCTGTCCCCGTGAGGGCACCCATAGGAAGAGGTGAGCCCATGGGGAACAACAGCGTGCTTTATTCGAAGCAGAGGATAGACAAGATGTGGTCACAGCAAAGTCATACCGAAGACCAAACTGAACCAGAAAGATAAAATAGCAAGCATCTGTTTATTCATTAACTATTGTCTGTTTGGTGCACTGGAGAAGGGCCTGACATAGAAATGATCGTATTCCTTTACTATAGGGTTTTTAGTGTTTGTTGATCGGTGTGTGAATGTCTAGGTGAAATAGTGGAGGAGATTAATAATGCAGAGGTTCAAATCTGAATACTATGCATAAATGAAAACTGGGTTTGACCTGTAGCTGCTCTCAGAATAAATGTGCAGCCATTTCTGTCTGGGAAAAGTAATAGAGAACATCATTTTCAAAAAATGAATGAGATATTTTAGGAATAAAACTGTGTATCTTGATATCATAAAATTCCAAATGTATAAGTGGATACTCTGCAGGGATCAAAAAAAGTACTAAACCTCTGTAAAGTGGTTTTTAAAAGTATTTTTCAGTTAAACTGGTAGGCATGTAATAAGCTTATGCACCTGAACACAGTTAATTTGTGTTACAGCCAGGTGGGGAAGAGGGTGTCCATTAGCTCTGTAAAACCTGAATTATTTGAAGTGGGTTCAGCCAGCCAGCCTGTAGGGCAAGCAGTCATAAAAGTCTGCTAGTGACATAGTCTAACGTCTCTTCTTGTAAATTTTTTTCATTGTCTGTAATGATTTTACCACATATATATGTGTATAGGTTAACCTTTACTGGTCAGAGCTGATTTATTGTTGTAGGTGTCTGTATCAAAGGTTTGGATGGTGAAATACGTACTATTAACAAGCTGTTTCTGTTTAGTAAGCCAAGTGGAATTTTTTAAGAACATAAAGGTTACTTTTAGAAAGGACTGTCATCTGGCCAACATCCAGGGTTTCCAGTCAGTGAAATTTTTAGGTGAATATTTGGTATTAAATACGTGGCAAAACCCCATTGAAATACACGCTGAAGGCAGAGGGTTACTCCTTTACTGAGAGTGGGAGCTGGGTTCCTTGGTCCCATGCAGGTCACAGCCATCGGTACCTGAGCTCATCTCGTCTGCTAGGGATACCCCAAATGATGCAGCAAACCTGGTTGGGGGGGATGCCGGGGGCTGTACGACATGGCCTGCTCTGGGGTCATCGACAGTTCAGGAGATCACCGTAGTCCTGTACCATATACCTTCAAGGGTAGGCGTTCTTTATCCTGCTGTGATAATCCGTTTGCTAAGTGCTATCCTTAGCAGGGTGGGAGGGAGCATAGTAAATACTCAGGGTGATGGGATACTGCCCTAAAGCCAGTAAGTAGCAGCTCCAGCTCATGTTTCTAAAACATCTTATCATTCTTTACTTTCATTAAGCTTGAGCTTTCATGGTGAGGGTGGAGTGGCTAATCTGATATTCATCTGTGCAAGCAGTTGAAAGAAAATTCTAATTACTTAACCTTAACTGTAGGCTTGGTGTGCTCCAGTTTACCCAAAACTCATCACTTGGGGGTAAAATCCTGACCCTTAGAAAGTCAGTCAGAGTTCTGCCAGAGCCACGTGCATTTCCCTGCTGAAGCACAACAACATGGGGCAGGAGTGCAGTTTTGTTCACGTGTCCATAGGCTCGGGGGCTTCATTGCAGACCCTATATGTCATGTGTTTTCAGGTTTAATGCCCTACCAACTGCAGACTTTACTGATTTTATTTGCTTTTTATTTCTTTTACTCAATACATAGAATCATAGAATCATTTAGTTTGGAAAAGACCTTTAAGATCATTGAGTCAAACTGTTAACCTAGCACTGTCAAGTCCAGCACTAAACCATGTCCCTAAGCACCACATCTACATGTCTTCTAAACACCACCAGGGATGGTGACTCCACCACTTCCCTGGGCAGCGGGTTGGTCCCTCCCCCGCTCCCCTGGCCAGCCTGTTCCAGTGCTTGACAACCCTTTCGATGAAGAAGTTCTTCCTAATATCCAATCTAAACCTCCTCTGGTGCAACTTGAGGCCATTTCCTCTTGTCCTATCTCTTGTTACTTGGGAGAAGAGAGAGGCCCCTACCTTGCTACAGCCTCATTTCAGGTAGTTGTAGAGGGCAGTAAGGTCTCCCTTGAGCCCCATTTTCTCCAGGCTGAACACCCCCAGCTCTCTCAGCCGCTCCCCATCAGACTTGTGCTCTAGGCCCTTCACCACCTTTGTTGCCCTTCTCTGGACACGCTCCAGCACCTCCATGTCTTTCTTGTAGCGACAGGCCCAAAGCTGAACACAGTGTCTGAGGTGGGGCCTCACCAGCGCGGAGTACAAAGGGATGATCACTTCCTGTTCCTGCTGGCCACACTATTTCTGATACAGGCCAGGATGCCATTGGCCTTCTTGGCCACCTAGGCACACTGCTGGCTCATATTCGGCTGTCGACCAACACCCCCAGGTCCTTTTCCTCTGGCCAGCTTTCCAGCCACTCTTCCCCAAGACTGTAGTGTTGCATGGGGTTGTTATGACCTACATACCCTAGTGCCTTCTCAGAAACTTTTGGGGCTGATGATTTAGTTGTTCAAAGTTGAAGGACAGTGATGGTTTTAGCTACTTTTTGATATTATGGTAGCATTGCCTGGGGCAGAGCCCGAGGCTTTGGCGTTTGTGGAAGGTGATTTACAAAGCAAACAGCAAGCACCTGGCTCTGCAGGAAGGGCTGTCGTTCTCCCATCAGCCGATCACCCCACCCTTGCAAGGCCAGGCGTTTCACCAGTTTGACTTGCAAACCATTCTTATTCCTGTATGTATGGTTTGCATAAGCTTTTGCCTACATAACTGGCTCCCAAGTGCAAGCTGGTGATTGCGCCATAGACCACAGACGCCTTGTCCCACTCCCCTCAATCCTGTTTGAGCTGCTGCCGCCGTGCCCCCTATGAAATGTGAAGGGTACAGTTGGTTACTGTCATGGAAATGCCCCGTGCTCAGTCTCGGCACTGAGCTCTGCTCTGCTATGTATTATTCATGGGCATTTGTACAAGCTGATGGTGTTCCAAAGCGAAAGGAGGAATTTTGGCAAAGAATTCCTTCTCCTGTAAAAAGCGTACTAATCTTTGCAAATATTGAAGCAAATGGAGGAGGTGTTTTTTATATAGTACTCAGTGCAAGTGCTCAGAAATGTAAGAGCATCGGTGTTTGTGAAATGATGTGTCTGACCCTTGAAGGCATCTGATGCATGGTGCCTATGACAAAGAAATGGTGGCACACAGAGAAAAGAGCGGAAAAAATGCTTTTTTGGATCAAGCATTTGGTACCGCTTTACTATAGCTGCAGTACCTGATACAGGAGCCTGTTTGGATAGTAGGTTTTGGAAAAATGGAGGATTGTGTACTTGCATGGAGTTATTAATTTGTAATTGAAAGAATCAGTCTCTCTTCTCAAGAAGTCCAAAACAGTATCGTTACAAGAAACTCACTGCTCACATACTATGCCATAGTGCTTAATTAGCTGCTGTTGTTTTGTTTATCGAATACTGGAGGAGACTGGACTGGGTTAAGAGAGATGCCGTATTAGCACTGTTGGGCTTTCGGGCTGTGCTCACATCACAGTTGCTGAAGGGGAAGTTGTCTCTTGTGGCTGGGCATTTTGGGGGGCCGATGGTAATGAATGAAGGAAATTACAGGCTCTGGGAAAGAATATTAAGCTGTGAATCACGAATCCTCTTGTTCTGCTGCTATCAGCTGACAGGCCCTTTTCTGTAAAATAAAACCCGTTAATGCATTCTTTGTCATTTTCAGTGACTCAAAGGCTTAGATCTTCTGCAAACTCTTGGTCTAATAGGGGATTGTACTTGTTTTTAGCCAAACCTATTTTTTCATGAGTTAGTACTGCTGCCTGTACATGTCCAGAGTCCATGTTTATACCAGTGCACATCCTTTCCCCCTTTAAGTATGTGTCTGCCATCTTGAGTACTTGCCAGTAGCTGCAGGAGGCATCTTGCGGTTAGACTGGGTACCGTCAAATCTACATTTCTCTGAGCTTCATCACTAGCCGGCAGTGCCAACACACACGTTCATCATGCTCTTTTCTTCCATCAGATTTCCATGACCTCTCAACTTCTTGCTTGTATTGAGATGATGAGGGCTGCATATATTGTATTTATTTGCATGTAGCAGAGAAAGAAGATGATACTGGCATTTTAAAATTTTATTTTCTGTATATGGATGCCTCCTGTCAAAGAGTGCGATAGAAAACCTTTCTCCTCCTCATCACTAGTTCCAGGGCAGTATAGCTTAGATCAGGGTAATCTCGAGCTGATGGGTACTCAGCGTGAAATAAATGCAGTGTGTCAGCTCTAACATCTCTCTGCCAAAAAAATCACAACTCGCACTGAAACTTTTATGGTCATTGCGACAGTGGAGTAGCGAGGCTGAGCACAGTGTGCTGTTGTGCAATTTTTGTGTTGTGAAGTCGATAAAATGCCCCTTCATGGCCAATGGGGAGAGTGGTGGTGAAAATCACAGGTAGGCGAAGGTGTACGGTGCACATCAGTTCCCTCACTAGGGAAAGGGAGGGGGATACAGCTATTGCTTCAGCCACAGCTTGCTGTGCTGTCAGCACACATGTTGTCTGACCTATCCATGGATGCACACTGGTGAGTGGCATCTGGTGCTGCTTGCCCGATGGCAGTACCACAAAGACCACTTTAGGGAACTGGGACGGATCTTGGGGTAAGCATGAGGAGCTGGATTTCTATTTCTTCTCTTGCTTGTGGACTACTTGCTTCATGCTCACTGGTTTCGTAATTTTTTTTGATGGTGTTTTTAGGATTTTGAAGTTTTGCAATTGATTTTGGCAGGACCAAGATTTTGTTTTCTCTATATCCTAATAAAAATAAATGTAAAGCTGTAGCCGGTGATTTGGGATTAGTTTCTATGTTTAGTGGGATGTAATCTTCTGATTCTTCTTTGTTTTGCAATATATAGTCTGAACAATCAAATCCATCCTGCGTTCCACTTGGTTGTGCACCACTTAACTGCTTGGTGCTAGCAGAATATATCCTAATTTGGTTGAATTGTTGTTACTTCTATGCCATTTTAAGCAGCAGTGATTGCTACTCATTATCATTAGGCTAAAACGATTGCCTTTAGAAGGATCCTAATAAGGAGGATGTCCCGATTAAGTAGAATGTGTTGTGCTAAGAAACTCCTTACAAGAAAAGATGTCACAGTCGCGTGTTGTAATATAATTCTATTATCTTGTCTTCCTATAACATCTGCTCTAATATCTCACAGAGGTACTCTCTGCTTTGGATGATGATCATCCGTTCTGGCTTTTGATGAAATCAAATCCAACTCAGCTGGGATACTGCCCTGAAAATAATCATATGTCTTTGGAAAAAACTGCTCTGCAGATATGCAGTTACTAAAATTTCCAATTCCAAGGAGCCAGAGACAAAACTACTCAGACAAAACCTTCAAACTTGGCCAGATGAAATAAAAATTTTGCCCTTGCATAGCTCAGAGGATCGTTCTTCGCGGTTGTTCTGGAAGTGAAGTTCCTGCTGGTGAGAACCCAGAATCTGCAGAGTTTGTACAACTTCTGTTTGTCATTTATCCGTGGTTGCTGCCATTGATCATTTTTTGACAGATTTTGTGAGGCTCTCAGTTCTTTCATTTTTAAGCATTATTCATTTGCTCTTCTGCTGATTTTTTCCAGGAGAGAAAGGGTGATCTCTTGTGGTTAAACTGGATAACTAGAGGCCTTATGCTCTTTTCTTGGTTTTCTATGATAGTTCTTAATTCACCTTGAATTAGTTACTAAGCTCTCTAATGCCTTACTTTCAAGTAATCTATAAATTGGACATGAATATTACTTTACCTGCTTAACGACAGTGTCTTGAGGCTCACAGTAGAGCTGGTAGTGCTTATTAACATCTTTGGGTAGTAGGTGTTAAAGTAGTATCCTTTTAGCCTCTCCCATCTGACCTCTATGCCTGTTCCACCCTTCCTCATTTGGGCTGCTCTGCCCACTCTGAGACTCCAATTCTGGAAACTTGATATCACCACCTAGCTTTCCCAAGCCCTTTGTGTTTTCTCCATGCAAAGCCACTCCCTGTTATTTAACCAGGCTGGAATGTGTGGAAAGAAGACACTTTGCACTCATTGCCTTGAATACTTTCCAGGTCTTCCGTTAACTGAAAGCACTGGCTGATATGATTAGCTTTAAGGT